GACACCATTGAAAAGCAAATCATGGAAATGGAGACTTGTCGTTGCCAGTGTTTGGAAGGAGGAATCGAGATCCCCAACTACCTCTTTGCGACTCTCATGCTCGCCGCCTTGCCCGCTTCCAGCAGAGGTTTTGTCACCTCTTATCTGGCCAATTGTCCTATTGCCTCCTTGAACCTGGTCAATGTCAAGAACAGCATCATTGGGAATATCAAGATTGAGAACCTTGACACGACGTTGAACTCGAAGATTTCCACCGTTCCCTCCCTTGCCACCCGCTGCACTCATTGCAACAAGTCTGGTCACGTTGCGGCATCCTGCTACAAGAAGTATCCCAACCTCAAGCCTAATAGTCAATCATCTGACAAAGGCAAGGGGAAGCAGGATGAGGGGAAGAAGAAAAGGAAGAAGGAAAAGAAGAGTGGTGATGGTACTAGCACTGTAAAAGAAGTTGTAGCCGCTCCCGCGGTTGCAGCTGCCTCCAATGGAATGCACATTTTGTCCTATCTCATGAGTGACTCCCTCAAACACATCGATGATGGAATTTTTGTTGAAGAAATGGGAGACAACTCCAAAGTTTGTTTTCTATGGGACTTGGGTTGTACGCATCATATGACAAACACCCGATCCGATCTTCACAACATCAGACCTATCAACACCTATGTAGTCGTTGGGTCGGGAGCTTGCTTCAAGAATGAAGCCGTTGGAGATATTGTGTTGCGGGGTCATACTAGTAGTGGCATGAACTACACCTTCACTCTGAAGGATGTCATCTACAACCCGCACATAAGAGGGCATTACCTTTCTGGGTATGCACTTGATCAGGCTGGTTACTACACCGTGGTTGGTGACAACAAGGCAATCCTAGTCACCAAGGATTGGCTCAACAAGGGAAAAGTGCATGGGGATGTCTTGATGACCTTTAAAGCAAGCAATCGCTGCTACTGGTACTACCCCGAGGAGCTCGTGGCACCATCTGTGTCTGCATCTCACGAGTCTACCGCGCTCACTTCCCTGGAAACTACCAATCGTGAATTGTGGCATAAGCGTTTTGGTCATGCGGCTCGGAGGACCCTTACTCACTTGCCAACACAAGTTGAAGGTGTTCCCCCCTTGCGATGCAATAAAGACCAGCGCGGCATGTGCGATGGATGTATGCTTGGAAAACAGCACAAGCATCTGTACCCTGCATCAGAGAAACGTGCTAGCAAACCCCTCGAGCTTATCCACACTGATTTGATGGGCCCCTGGCCTACTCAGTCGTTGGAAGGTTCACGCTACACAATTTTGTTCTACGACGATTTCTCGAGCTTCGGCATGATGGTGTTCATTAAATCAAAGGATCAAGCCTCTACCGCGATTAAAAACTTTGTTGCCCTTACAGAGCGTCAGCTTGGCACAAAAGTACTGGCCTTCTGGTCAGATCGTGGAGGTGAATATATGTCCGATGAACTCACAGCCTGGCTCAATGCACGTGGTATTATGCACCCTAAGTCCGCACCACGCAAACCACAGCAAAATGGGAGGTCTGAACATTGGAATCGCACAGCCTACAAGAAAGCGGAATGCATGCGCCTCAATGCCGGCCTATCCAAAGGCTTCTGGAAATATGCTATGGATGCATCTGTCCACGTTCATAATAGACAACCTATGGCTCGATTGGGATGGCAAACACCTGCGGAACTGTGGCTTGGAAAGAAGCCAGACGTCTCTTATTTCCGTGTGTTTGGATGCAAGGCGTCTCTCTATGTGGATGTTGAAAAACGCCCAAAAGGGTTGGAGCATGGACGCCCTGACCACATCTTTGTTGGATACAAACAAGAGACAAAAGCTTGGAAAGTGTGGGATCCGAATCAACGCAAGATACAAATCTCTTCAAACGTCGAGTTCGATAAGCGAGTATTCCCTGCCAATTCCAAGCTAGTCACCGGCAATGTGTCCTCTGGACCGGAGCCGTTCACACCATTCAAGGAAACCTTCCCTGACCTTATCAATAATCCTGCGCCTGCAACACCTTATGCAAGTGTACCACCTCCTGCTCTCCCACCACCACCGGCACCCCTCACGCAACAAGGTCCTGTCACGGGATTGCGAGAAGTACCCCTAATGCCTGGCCCAATAGATGATTGCCTGATTGCCCATTGCCGCACTCATCGGAATAAGCCCCGCATTATGCCAGATGGAACTACGTATCAGAGGCCTAGCAGCATTGAGTCCATGTTGTCAGCTGCCCAAGCTGAGCATGACTTGCCTCAAAACGTGCGGGACGTAGCAAAGAGCTCGGATGCACTCAAGTGGGAGCGCGCAATGCGCGAAGAACTGGACTCTCTCGAGGAAAACTGTACTTGGGATTTGACCAGCCTTCCACGTGGTTGAAAGACTGTCGAATGCAGATGGGTGTTTAGCAGGAAGCGTGACGGTCATTTCAAAGCATGACTTGTTGCCAAGGGATTCACTCAGGTTCATGGGTTTGACTATGATGAGACCTTCTCACCAGTATTGCGCTACGAATCTTTGCGCATACTTATGGCTCTGACTGCTCTCGAAGATTGGGAGATTCATGCCATGGATGTCAAAATGGCATTCCTAAACAGGGATCTGGAAGAAGAAATCTATATGGAACTTCCAGAATTACCCAAAGGTTTCTTGTCATGGCCAAAAGAAAAGGTGGCACGCCTTCGTAAATCACTCTATGGGTTGAAACAGGCGTCTCGTCAGTGGAATATCAAAATCCACAATGCCCTCCTTGAACTTGGTTTTGCTTGGACATACTCCAACACCGGTGTCTACACATATTGCCAACAAATGGCAGATACGGTCATCATCTTGGTGCTGTATGTTGACAATATGCTCATTATGGGCAACAATCTGCCGGAGATAGTGCGGATCAAATCATTGCTTGCGAACCGCTTCAAAATGACAGATCTTGGTCCTGCAAAGGATTTCCTTGGTCTGAACATAGTTTGTGATCGCAAAGCGCGCAAAATCTGGGTTGATCAAACTTCCTACATCACTGGAGTTCTAGATTGTTTCTGGATGTCTTCGTGTAAAGAAGCTTGTACTCCCCTGCCTTCCGGCATTGTGCTCGAGAAGCATGATGGAGAAGTTGATGAAGACCATCGTACCCGTTACCAGCAGTTGATTGGCAGTCTTCTATACGCCATGCTTGGCACATGCCCCGACATTGCCTATGCAGTCATCCGTCTTTCAAAGTTCAACAGCAACCCGTCAGAACATCATTGGAACATGGCAAAACACATACTCCGGTACCTTCAGGGCACCAAGCACTACCAACTTTGCTATGATGGTTCCACTGGCGCAGGCCTTATCGGTTATTCCGATGCTGATTGGGCGGAGAACAAAGACGACAGGCATTCTACCATGGGATATTCCTTCTTCATTGCCGGTTGTGCAGTGACCTGGGTTTCTATGGTGCACGTGCCCTCGTCACTGCCACTTTGTGACAGGACCGGAATCTGGTCAGAAAATTTGCAAAAATAAAATGGTCGGGAAAGCATCAGAAATGGTTCAGATTGAGTGCAGATCAAGTGGAAAGACACATTTTATGCATAGAAGCCTGAAAGAGGTCATATTTGTCAGCAAAAGTGGTGACTTTGGCGTGACTTCTAGTTACATTTCGTGACATAACGTGACAGAACCGGAATCGGGGTGTCAATCAAAACATCAACTCCCTCAGTTTTGAAGCAATTAATTATCCCTCTTACAGATTTGTTCTACACCTCAAACTGAGTGTTTCTGTAAGACAGATAAGAAAACAGACGCTTCTGTGACACACTGTGACCCTTGTACAAAAGTGGTAGTGTTAAGGGCACATGCACCATAGACGCCAACCCACGGTCGCTTTGTCCTCAACAGAGGCCAAATACATGGCTCTGAGCAATGCTACGCGCCAGATTGCCTGGATCCGCACTTTGTTGACTGAGCTTGGATATGACTTGCCATCCACGCCTCTTTGTGTTGATAACCAAGGCACTATCTTTATGGCAGTAAATCCAGTTCATGATAGGAGGACGAAGCACATCGACATCCGCTATCACTTCGTACGAGAATCCATCAAAGCTGGCAATGTCCAACTTTACCATGTGCCGACTGATGCGATGATCTCAGACACGCTCACAAAGTCTTTGGCATGGGTGAAGTTCCAACAACATCGGCTGTCTTTGGGTCTTCGTGATCCGACTGTTTAGTCAAGTGGGAGTGTTGAAGCTTGTTTGTATTAGCGACTATCACAGTATGTAGACATGACATCATATTTAGTATCTTTAGATTACTTTGGCTCGCTCCACAATGACCTCATACCTGACCTCATTATTGCGTCATCCATTACTCATCTATGATATCACTACTCCACTATGACATCATGATATCTGGTCCAGACTGGTATATAAACCTAGTATTATACACTCCATATCCTCAGCTCTGTGTCTTCTACACTCACTGAGGTATGCATACTCTCTTATGATCTCTTACGACTCATACTCATGACTTGTACCTAGACTCTGTCTCTATAGGTACTGCTAATGTTAGCTCTGTGTCTTCTACACTCACTGAGACTCTGTCTCTATAGGTGATCGCTACTGGTCGTATCTCCACTGCGCAATATTGTCTGCGATAGAGGTAGCAGAGACAAGACGGTAGGTATAAGTACGTGATTGGTAACATAGGGTACATATTGAGGGGGATCGGTCTACAGGCGGTAACATCCCACCTCGGCTATATGGCTAGCTGAGCCACTACTTCAACATAGATGACACGTGATGGAGTCATAGATGTGTATCACGACATCCATCTTGACAGATGATATTTGATCAACAGCGGTTGTTCTCAGTCCTCGCCAATGTGAAGGACAACGATGCCATCAATCTCCTTGCAGAATGATCAGATAATCTTCCATAGCATGTTTCCTTTTTGGTCACAATTCAGCTTTGGAATGATTCCTACGACACTCCACACCTAAGTAATTGGGAAGTAAAGTCTACTCCACAACCAGGAAACTTACAGAAAACAAATCAATTTTTTTTTCTGCTGAACAGGTCTACTCTTGTTGTAAATACTAAATTTCATCATGCAAAGTCTTGAACAAGCTCCGAGCGCAGATCGCGACTGGAGGCACCGACAGAAATCGTGAACGAGCCCTTGGGAACTGAACCAAGCGATCAGTGACAGCCCGGGTGCACTGAGGTCCAAGCACGCACCTCTCCATTTCTGCTCGCTCACGTCCCACACTGAGAGATCTTTCCTCGTCAGTTCGAATGTCGCTGTGCCCTGTTGCCCGGGTTTCAGGCTCATTTTGTCGAACCCACGCAGCACGCGCGGAGGCTGATTCTCAGTTGATGGGAACTAGGAAACGTTCAGTAAACAACTTTGACGGCGCAGGACATTGCAGACCGAAACATAAAGCTGGGCCACTTCGGCGCCCGCGGCTTTACCGGTGTTTTTCACAGATACAGTAGCCTGGACGACAATCAGTCAAGTCTCTCACTTCTTGGAGTCTGGAAACTTACGGTGTACAGTACATCGTACATGCTTTTGCCGGAATCACCTGGGAGTGCAACAAACTGCTCCGCGGTTGGTTGAATGGATGTGTTGTCAGCTTTGAAGGTCTCATTGAGGCTGAGCTGGCCAAAGGAGAAAGTCGTGTAGCTCAGCCCAAAGCCGAACTCAAAGCGGGGTGTGATGTTCTTTGCGTCGAACCACTGCCCCGCTAATCAGCACATTTCAGTTCATCTCGGCGTCTCTCGCAACGCACCCTGTAATCAACAAGCAATTTCTCTGTGAAGTTGACCTGGGGTTTGAGAACAGCATCGGACATGATCCCATTCAGGGGCCAGTCTATCCAATGTTCGTTCATTCAGCTAGCCACATACAAAGACAGCGGAACGTACCAGAAACATCCTTGGCAAATGTGTATGGAAGCTTTCCCGATGGCGATGTCTCACCCCAGAGCACAGGCACGAGGCTGTTGCCGCTTTCTTGACCAGGAAGATGCGCGATGAGAACAGCAGTAACCTGTCGGAGAGATTGAGAAACCGAAAAGAAGCGATAAATGCCGCGCACATTGGGATGATCGATCCAGTCCTCCACGATCACCGCGCCCGGGACATGCAAGACCACTATTGTGTTCTTGTTGACGGCCGCAATCGCTTGCACGAGAGAGTCCCCATTGGGATATGTGGTCAGGTTGGCGCGGTCAAAGCCCTCCGAAGAGAAGGCGCTCAGGAAAACAATCGCAACTTCCGAAACACTGGCTTGCAATGCTGCCGCCGCCAAGTCGTGGTTTTCCAGGTGCTGGTTGATGTCGGGGCCTTCAGCAGTGACATACGCGTTGATGGCTGCCAAAGGGTCGATCGTGTATGGCGGATAAGCGAAGCCACTGCCCCCACCCATGGTCAGTGTACCGTTATTGCCCCCGGATAGACAGGCATTGCCCAAATCCCCACAAGAGGTCATTCCAAACGGAGCTGGGCCAGCGTCCTGTCCAATCACAGCCAGTGAGGCCATGTCTGCGGGAGCTGGAAGCGGCAGTCCGAGCCCGCCGGTGCGATTGTTTTTGACGAGCGTGATCGCCTCCTGCGCAACCTGCCGGATGATCTTGTAGTGGTCTCGGCGAACATTGTTGGTGGGAACTGTTTGATCAAACTGGTTGAAGGTTGGACGAGGATATGTGTTCAGGTTCTGATGCTCCAGAATGGGAGCTAGTGTTCGTAAAGCCTGCCGACATGTTAGATAAGGCACGTGCATAGATCGCACCCCACGCACCATGTCATCCAAGCGCTTTTCCGGAACGGTCCCGTTCTGCACCAATGCGGTCAGTTCGTCGCCGTAAAAGTTGCCGAGGTGGCCGCCATAGGCAGATCCCGGCATCGTCATGTCAAGCCCGAATAATGACGAGGTCTTCGTGTCCCAAGTTCCGCCCCAGTCCGACACCACGGATCCCTGGAAGCTGAGCTCTCCTTTGAGCCACTTGTTGAGGGCGACATCGTTGGCACACGCGTGTGTCGAGTTCACTTCGTTGTAAGAGCACATGACAGTTCCTGAGCCGGCGCGAACCGCCTCCGCAAACGGCCAAATGTACAGTTCGTGGGCCGTCTTGTCGTCAAAGTTAGAGGAAATCGGGTCTTGTGTGTTAACAGGGAAGACATCATAAGGCTCTGGCAAGCCCCAGGGATTCCGATACGTTTCCTGCAAACCGATCTTGAAAATCTGGACATTCAGGCGCAGGGAGATCTTTACCTGCTCGTATCCGATGTAATGCTTGGAACAGGTGACCACACCTTCCGCTTGGGCATACTTCACAGTCAAGAAGGAAGCCACGCCATGCAGGTACCTGCGGAAAGAGATAAGCAATCATCATGTCAACAACCGGTGTTACGCACGGATCAGGACCGAAACCTGCGAAAAGATCAACGAGCGCTCTACCGTGCGAAAAGCTCGAGACACGAACCTTCCCAAAGCCGTCCGTTGAATGGACTGCGTCCCATGGGCCCACCGGTGACAGGTCCGAGCCTGCAACTCAATCAGCGATAAAAGATGCCACTGTCCGAGACGAACGCACCAGATGTTGACTCCCTTGTCGTGAAATTCGCGAGCAAGGGCCGTCCCTCGTGCGGCAATCAAGTCTCGATTCCATGTCGCGGCGGTTGTGATCCCTGGCGGGAACTGTGAAACTCGGCGGACAGGACGGACACCGACTGGGCCGTCTTGGAGACAGAGGGACGGTATCCCGAGTCGGGCGATCTCGCCAGTAACTCCAGCGCACAAGCCATCGAATCCAGTCGTGAGGTTGACCTTTTGAGATATGAGCAAAAATGCTAGTTTCAATACCGATAATATATGCCTTCTCTGGAATCGTCTTGCGAGGGATTGAATTAGCATGGAGTGACGAAACAACAGCTAGAGCGTTCGTACCATCTGGCTCACCAGGGCTTTTGCTGCATTGTACCCCTTGACCCACGAGCCACCATCAGAGTATGGCCCCGTGTAGCTGTCAGCACTTGCAGCGCTGACGAGCAGGAAGAAAGCAAGTAAGCGCTTGAAATTTGAGTTTGCACCTTGCATGGCTTGGTGAAGATCCTATTGGCGCTGTCCACTTCACCTTTTATGCATCGGTTCCCCGGAGCCCGTGTTATTTCGGCCAATCTTTCCTGGAAAAACCTGCGAGGAGGAACAGGGAAGGACTGCGGCCAAGAGCAAGGAAGGACTGCGGGAAAGTTGACCTGAGAATGCGGGGAAAATATTCGTGAGATGACGGAAGTGGAGTTTCTGGTCCGCTTGTAATCCGAATTTACAGATCTCCGGAATTCGCGAAACAGTTGATACCAGTTGCGGGCTGGAACCGAGATTGCAATAAGACTTGATGACTTATTCGAGCGACCCCGAGGTAGGGTAAGCTTCCCTCTGGACAATTTTGAAGCGCAACAGATGTTAGCAGAGTCAAAGGCAGTTAGATGGTCGCCGCCGATGTCGCCAGCGGTAAAAGTACTGCGCTCAAGTACTACTGGAAGCCGCTGTCGCCATCGACGACGACGACGCTTACTGTACCGAAAATGTCACCACCTCACTCAGCAGATATACCTTTGGTCCATGAGGCACATGGTCGCAGAGTCCCAGGAACCCCAGAACTTAGCCAGATCTCATCATCAATATAGACCTTGACCCTAATGGACAACGGTAGGCATGACCTGGTTAGGCGAATTTGCAAGATCTGGGCGTGGGCTGTCGGGTGCTCCACCTTGACGATTCGAAATCCAAAGAACAAAGGCAAACTGAGCCTCAAGATTGAGCGACCCCCTCGGACCGCTTTCCCTCTGTTCATCGCGGCGCATCATAACCCGCACGCGATATGCATGCATTGCTCATTCCCGAGCTTCTCGACACTCATCTCGCCCCTGCGCTCGGTTTCATGATCCACAATGTCGTTACGCAATCCGTTACCCCACCATTGTACTGGGACGGAGATTCGGTGGTTCCGATGACAGCGTACATCAATTGTGCGGTCCATGCAACGATGATTGGACGCGCATTCAGCCTGCTCTCGTCATCGGCGCCTTCAGCGGACGGCAAAACCGAGGACGATATCCTCGCTGCTGCGTCGGATCTCCCTTCCGAACTCAAGCTCCTGATCCATGTTGAGTTCATGACATATCAGCGTCAGCGGCGACGTCTCTGGCAACATGCTATTTCCCCCGTTTTTGTCAAAGCTCTGCTGACTGGCGGAGAAGCCGAGCCTGGGTCGCTCTTTGCGTCGGCCATCATCGCCCTCGGCTGCTGGCATGCCCTCATGAGCGCCAGCCCGCCTGTTAAGGGGAGGGGGAAAGACTTTGTGGCGAGTATTGTGTCAGACCTCGCATCTGCCGAGAAACAACTGGGATGTCGCGGCCTTGAGGGCAAACGAACGCAATTGGGGTAGCCTACCTCCCGAGTATGTTCCAATGGAATGTATCAAGGTGCTCGAACGGACGCGCGCACATGCTATTGCCGGAGGTCCAGATTTGACCAGTGCTGAGATTATTAACTTTGTGTTCCAGGTGCTAGACGACTCGAAGAGTCCCTAGGATCATTCACAATGAGTCGTCAAGGCCACTGAGAGTTGGAAAGACGAAGTCAAAAACAGTTGGCAGACACCGTGATATTTTTGATTCATAGTTTGATGTTCGAGTGAAGAAAAACGAAGAAAAGCATGTCAATATTGTATTCAAACCATGTGTAGGCGCGTGACATCCCTTCGGCGACGTCTCAACATATTCTAAAACATTTTTTAATCCTTACGGAAAGTCATCTGATGTGGGTATGTACACAGAAACGCGCCCGATTACAATTACGGTCAGGTATATACTCTATTCATATAAACTCTATCATGCAAACTCTTGAACAACCTCCGACCGCAGATCTCGACTCGAAGCACCGACAGAAATCGTGAACGAGCCCTTGGGAACTGGACCAAACATTCAGGGACAATGGATATGGTACCGAAATCAGTGACGCACCTCTCCATTTCTGCTGGCTCACATCCCACACCGACAGATCCTTCCTCGTCAGCTCAAAGGTCGCAGTGCCTTGTTGTCCGGGACTCAGTTGCAGTTTGTCGAATCCTCGGAGAACACGTGGAGGCTCATCCTCAGCCGACGGGAACTGCGGAAATGTTGAAAAGACGAACACGGTCACGTAAAACATCGACAGACCGAAACATAAAGCTGGGCGACTTCGGCACCGGCGGTTTGGCCGGTATTTTCGATAGAAACAGTAGCCTGGGCGACGATCAATTGAGTTCCTCACCTCCCAGAAGTCGGGGACCTACAGTGTATAGCACATCGTACATGCTTTTGCCGGAATCACCTGGAAGTGCAACAAACTGCTCCGCGGTTGGTTGAATGGATGTGTTGTCGGCTTTAAAGGTCTCATTGAGGCTGAGCTGGCCAAAGGAGAAAGTCGTATAGCTCAGCCCCAAGCCAAACTCGAAGCGGGGCGTGATGTTCTTCGCGTCAAACCACTGCCCGGGCAATCAGCACGCCGTCGTTCATCATTTGCCACTCGGAACGCACTTTGTAATCAATGAGCAGTTTCTCCGTGAAGTTGACCTGGGGTTTGAGAACAGCGTCGGCCATGATACCATTCGGAGGCCAGTCTATCCAATGCTCGTTCGTTTGACCAGCAACAAGCCGAGAGAGCAGAACGCACCAGAAACATCCTTGGCAAATGTGTATGGAAGCTTTCCTGAGGGCGATGTCTCGCCCCAGAGCACGGGCGCAAGACTGTTCCCGCTTTCTTGGCCAGGGAGATATGCGATAAGCACAGCCGTGACCTACCAAAAGATTGAGAACACGAGGAGGAAGTATAGGCAACACGCACGTTTGGGTGGTCGATCCAGTCCTCCACGATCACCGCGCCCGGAACGTGCAAAACAACGATCGTGTTCTTGTTGACGGCTGCGACCGCTTGCACGAGAGCGTCCCCATTGGGATAAGTGGTCAGATTGGCCCGGTCATAGCCTTCCGAAGCATATGCGCTCAAGAAGACGATCGCAGCCTCCGAAACACTGGCTTGCAGTGCTGCCGCCGCCAAATCGTGGTTTTCCAGGTGCTGGTTGATGTCGGGGCCTTCAGCAGCCACATACGCGTTGATAGCTGCCAAAGGATCGATCGTGTATGGCGGATAGGCGAATCCGCTTCCTCCCGCCACGGTGAGTGTTCCGTTGTTGCCAGCGTGCGGACAGGTGTTGCCCGCAACGTCACAAGAGGTCATCCCGTACGGAGCTGGGCCGGCGTCCTGTCCAATCACAGCCAGCGAGGCCATGTCGGCGAGAGCTGGGAAAGGAAGCCCGCCACCACCGGTACGGTTGTTTTTCACCATTGTAATCGCCTCCTGCGCGATCTGTCGGATGATCTTATAATGATCCCGGCGAACATTGTTGGTAGGAATGGTCAGATCAACCTGATTCAAGCTCGGACGAGGATAGGTCTGCAGGTCCTGGAGCTCCAAGATGGGGGCAAGGGTGCGCAGAACCTGTTGAAAGGTTATCAAAGATCCTTGTGTGAGATCTCAATACACGCACCATGTCATCCAAGCGCTTCTCCGGAATGGTCCCATTCTGCACCATCGCAATCAATTCGGCACCGTAGAAGTTGCCCAACAGCCCATCGATACCAGATCCCGGCATCGTCACATCGAGCCCAAAGAGTGTCGAGGTCTTCGTGTCCCAAGTTCCGCCCCAGTCTGAGACTACAGCGCCCTGGAAACCCAGCTCCCCTTTGAGCCACTGGTTGAGGGCGACATCGTTAGCGCACGCATGTGTCGAGTTCACTTCGTTGTACGAGCACATGACAGTTCCTGAGCCGGCGCGAACCGCCTCTGCAAACGGCCACATGTACAGTTCGTGCGCTGTCTTGTCATCCAAGTTGGAAGAAATCGGGTCTTGTGCGTTAACAGGGAAGACATCATAAGACTCGGCCTCGCCGTAGGGATTCCGGAATGTTTCCTTCGAAAGCGAATCAGAGATCTGGAACCCAACAAGCAAATGACGCACACACCTGCTCATATGCCAAGTAATGCTTAGAACAGGTAACCACGCCTTCCGCTTGAGCACTTTTCACGGTCAAGAAGGACGCGACACCGTGCAGATACCTGTGGGAAAAGCATGAAGAATCATCGTATCAACGTGCACTGTTACGCACGGATCAGGGCCGAAACCTGCAGAGAAATCAGCATCAACAGGCATTCCGACACAAAAAAGCTCGAGACACAAACCTTCCCAAAGCCGTCCGTTGAATGGACTGCGCCCCATTGGCCCACCAGTGACCGGCCCAATCCTGTCATTCTCTCAGCGTTAGATGATCTAACTATGCGAAGCGAACGCACCAGATGTTGGCTCCTTTGTCGTGAAACTCACGCGCCAGAGCTGTCCCTCGCGCAGCAATCAAGTCTCGATTCCATGTCGCGGCGGTGGTGATGCCGGCCGGGAATTGCGAAACGCGCCGTGCCGGGCGAACACCAGTTGGACCATCTTGGAGACAGATGGGTGGTATGCCGAGTCGGACAATCTGGCCGGTGACTCCAGCGCACGATCCATCAAATCCGGAAGTGATGTTGACCTGGATGTATCCGGATGAAACCAACGAAAGAAAGATGCGAGGAGCAGGAATACCTTCTCCGGAATGGTCTGGAAAGAAATTGGATTAGCTCCCGACGTAGGCGGCTACAACCAAAGCGCTCCTACCATCTGGCTCGAGAGGGCCTGGGCTGCGCTGAAACCTTTGGTCCACGTGCCACCGTCGGCGTAGGGTCCCGTGTAGCTGTCCGCACTTGCGGCACCGACGAGCAGGAGGAATGCAAGTAGGCGTTGGAGTTTGGGAGTTGTGCCCTGCATGATTGGGTGAAGACGAGGTGAGGTGGTGCTCAGCGCTGCTGTTTCTTAAACGCTCGCACCTAGCTCGGGCATTATTTTCATCACTTCCCAGAAATAAATGCCGGGCAGACGCTCTGTGAACACCGAACTCCGGGATCTGACTGGACAAGTGACAGCAACAGTCAGCCGCTCAGAACGATGCGCCAATCAAGAAACTTGAGTCGAAACCCACCGGACCGGATCTGATAGACTCCTGCAGAGGTCCATGGTCCCGTAGCTTTACTTCGTGTCAAGCACTTCGGAAAAAAGGAAGTCTATGTTGGTTCGTGTCCCACATTTGCAAATTCAGGACGATAGAATCGGAGGTGCGTGTTCCTGATTTGCAGATTCAGGATGACGATATCGAAAGTTCGTGTTCTGCATTTCCAAATTCGTAAAACTTGCGCCACGAGGGCGAGTGGGGGGCAACAATCATTGGGGTACGCGCCGCTACGCGAGGCAGATCTTGTTGCCCTGACTCGCAAAACGATTGACATACCAGTAGCGGTTGACGTCTCGCCGCGAGAATTACTTATTCGAGCGACCGCGAGGTCGGGTCTCGACAAGTTCCTGGTGCCACTGCTACAGATCTTGGCGGGTAAACGTTGCTGGACGCTCGCCGTCGATGTCCATTGACGGTGGAATTCGCTGCTGCTACGGGACTGACCAGTCACAGAAGACATTGTCTGTTTGTGGGTTCTCCATTTTCTCGTGACCCCGAATCTGTAAGTAGCTCAAAGCTGCATCGTGGGCTCGTGGGCGTTGAAAGCAAAGAACACGGCTGCTTTCGGACTCGGCCCACGGACTTCGGACTTCGGACACCGAACTCCAGATCAGCACAGCTATACTTCGAAGCGACTTTCTGAGCAGTTCGGGTCCGAGGACATCCACGAAATACAGGCAAATCAGGTCTCAATATCGACTCGACAAGCCGCCGCTGGTCACTTTTCCTCCGCTCAACACAACGCACCATGACACGACATCGACACTCTACTCGTTTCTGCGCTTCTGAGCACCAGTCTCCCTCCTGCACTAGGATCCACGGATCCACGACGTGCTTATGAAATCCGCAGTTTCTGATAGACTGATGGACTCAGACTTCAGCAACCACAGAATCAGACTATGCCGCTGCGTATGGTTGCGCATCGTGATCTTCGTCTTCCATTCTGACAAAGTGTCCTTGGGAACTGTAGTTGAACGAATAGGTCCGCTGCATTCTTGCCTCAAAAGCACCCGTCTTCAACCTTACGATCAATAGATCAATCATTGACGTTTGGCCAAAAACTCAACTGACTGCTCCCATAGACTAAATGTTTGGCCACAGGGACGAAATTCAGGCTCTCAGTGGAACTCCTCCGTCTGTGATCTTTGGTTCCTGAGCCGCTCAGTAACTCTTTGAGATCGGTAAAGAACGAGCCGATGCTTGGCCAGTCAGGAACCGACGTCGATGAGGAACTTGGCATATCGTTGCCTGAGAGAGCCGCGGCGAGTTTGACGCGAGAATTGAGCGGATATATGGTTCTGGACGGGAATCTGGTGGTTCCAATGGCGGCCTACATCAAGCGTGCAGCACATCCTACATGATCGGACGTGAGTGCAGCCTTCTCTCATTGCGAGACCTTCGCCGGATGGGCAATTCGAGGGCAGCGTCCTCGCCGCGGCATCGGAAATCCCACCCGAGCTCAGGTTCTTGGTCCACGCTGAGTTCGCGACGTCCCTGAGACATTAGCGAAGTCTCGGGCAACATACTATTCATCCCGTTGTCGTCGAAGCACTGCTGAGCAACGGACCGGCCCTCGCTTGGATCATTCTCTGCGTCGGGCATCATTGCCCTTGGCTGACTGCTGACATGTCGTCAAGAATACCGGTCGGCCTGTTGAGGGGATGAAGGCTTTGCACAGTGATGCGACGGTCCGTTTGACGAGATGAGCTGAGGCACAAATCATCTCGAGCGAGTATTGCACAAGACCTTCCATCTGCTGACGAACAACTGGAGCGTTGCGGCTCTGGAGATGACAGAAGACTATTGGCGTAGCCTGCCTCCTGAGAATGTTCCATTGGGATGTTCCATTGGGGTGTGTATGACTGCTCAATCGGGCGCATATACATGGAGGTCCAAACTTTACCAAGGCTGAAATCATCGACCTGGTGTTTTGGGTTCTTGACGATTCAACGATCGTCGAGGTCGTTCTGAGTAGATTTTCAGGGCTACTGGGAGGTGGAAAGACAAGGGTCGAGAACAGTTGGCGGGGGCATATATTTTGTGCATAGATCGATGTTATAATGGAATGCTTGGTGTGAAATCGATGCTCACTACATTGGAAACCACAGACTGATGGGCTGCAAGTCGCAAGTTAGACAGACTTCGACGGCCAGACAGGACACTGGCGTACCAGGCTCAAAGAGCTGTATCAACTTGTCACCATTGGCCAGATCTGCAAAGCGTGAGATGACGGCAACTACGGAGAAAAGGACGCTACCTATCACGCTACGTTCTTCAGATAGCCCAGAATAGAATATGATCTCGCATTCGACAGCCCGAGTAAGCTGATCCGAACGATCCCAGTTGAGGTATGCGCCAGTCGGCGTCACTTGCAAGCAGGAGACAGAATTGAGGGGTATTGGGTTGTTGAACCACATGGCCCTCTGTACGTTGATGATTGGATCAATGACCTCGGACTGGAATTGGTTCCAGTCCAGAGTGATGACAAACAGCCCAGTGCCCTGTCGACAATTATGCCTGGTACTATGCAGCGTAAGATGGACGCACAGTAGCCACCACAATATGATTCTGCTCAACAGCCAGATACTTGCTGACTCCGACGAGAGATCCAAGCTGGACATCAAACGCGAGATCCCACACATCAACTCCTGCAACAGCCCGCGCGAAAAAGGGGATAATAATAAGTCGAGAGCTTGCGAGCAAGCCCACGATATGGGATCCACAAGTGGAAACATGAACTGGATCTGTGTCGGCCAGACGACTGGGGGAGAACAATGCATGCTCACCAGCAATAAATTCGTCGATCAACCTGTGATCGTTCTCCGGAGCAACCACAGGCTTCACTGGGAAAGGATAAAGTCTGGTGATACCGGAGACGAGATCGTAGTCCACAGCTCTTGCATGTATGTCCGGAATGAACATATGCTCTCCGTAAGAAACCTTTTCGGAAAGGATGTCCAAGACAGCTCGCCCGGTCGAGCGCGAGAACACCCTGAGCACGTAGGATCCACACAGAAGGACGTGGCTTGGGCTGACTTCTACGTAATTGACGTCTCCCAATGACTCTGAACCAAAGCCTTCAGCGGTATTCGAGGTCTGAGTGTCCTGGATAGTTTGGATCAACTCTCCCGTGGGGATGTTCCACAGATATATCGCCGATTCCGAAGCAGCGGCCAGGGTGGGGTAGACGAAACGAAACGCACGCGTCAGTTCCGTCGGCTTCAGCAGCGACCATGGACGGAAGACGCCGTTCGTCCCAGTTAGACCCGAGACGGTCCGCACACACGCATCAAGTTGTCGCTGGTCTGGAGGGGACATGGTAGATTGCTGTGGTCCATCCTTCGGAATGCTATCCTCCAACCTCCAGACCTCCTTCTCACTTCCGAGTCCCCCGCGATCGAATATCAGAAAGCCGTCGTCATATTCACAGTGAGCGTAACGGTGAACATACGACTATAGATCAGTCCATACCGTCTCCCGAGGAGATTTATAGAGAACTCACAGTAGGCAATGACCACAGGATCTCGTCATCATGTAGATCAATGACTCGCAACCCACCCCGACTTGAGGTAACAATGATGAGCCCTCGTAGATCGTCAACCTTGATTCGATGGACGTATTTCCCTGCGCTGGGATGGGATCTGACGCGGGAGGGTGCATCCCCCGCCCACGACGCTCGAATTCGCTGTTGGGTAGCGCCTGCATTGTCTTAGTTGCGATATCCCTCGTAACGCTTTCAGACGACGCACAGAAGCTTTTCCAGTCTGTGGAACCTCCGAGAGAACTGCGGGAGAAGAGTTTGCCGAGATCGGCGTATGCAATATTCGTTGACGCGATGAAACCTGCGCAAGCAGCTGCATTGCGATATATGATGGACTCGTTGATACGGATGAGATTCTCGAGGTGTTTACTTGTGCGTCGGACGTTCTGCAATGATGAAAGGGGGAGGTAGGCGAGGACTGAGATGACTAGTTCAGGGGGCAGTTTGTGCAACATGGTTGTGTTCGCGAAAGAAGGGTCTGAGGCGCGGCAGCACGTGCTTCGGAATTCGGATCGCGTGTGGTGGTCACTGGAAGGTGACGTCGTCTGGCCGCTTAGAGGACGAGCTTCCCTCAGAGTTCACATGCACAGTCCGCTGGATGTACTAATGGTTTAAACTTATGTGGCCGTGCAGAACGACAAACGATTGATACTCGCTTGAGTACAGAATGGGAGACACATACATAAAGCGCACGCCGGCACAGAGAGTGAGCGACTTTGCACCCGGTTCTCAAAGGGCATATGTTCCTGTCGAGGTACTGTGTAGACACCGGCCTAGACGCGGCATATCTAGTGGCTGCCGTCGCTACCCACAGCCGCCGAGCGCGTCGTTCAATAAGATGTCATATCGCGATCGATCGAATACTGTAACCGAAATTCCTCTGAGCGTTTTCGTAGGCCTGGCGATACACCCTCACAGTTCTGCCTGATCGTCTTCAGAGCGATAGTGAAGGCAAGAGCTCTAAGAATGGCAAGCCATCAAGAAACAGGCAAGCAGGAGAGGTTTGATGACATCCCCGGCAGATCACGCTGCAACAGAGCCAAATCTGGAATACCGTCTTGTTCAGACCTCTTACGGGCTGAGACACTCGACGCTCTTTCTAGCTCATACCCACAATCACGCGACATACTTACGAATGCACTTACTATGTCCGGGCCTCCAACGAACCCTTCAACCAAGACAGCCACGAAACTGTTCCTACCGTCCGCATTTCCATACCCAATCAAAGTCGTGTCTCTAGACTCTGCCGCGGACGCTACCGTCCAACAAGGGACGCGCCTCTTCACGTACTCCTTCGTGCACACCCCCGCTCAAGCGAATGCCAAGCTGGAAACGCGTTTCGGCACTTGGGACTCGCCCGTTGTGGGAAGTGTGTCCGCGTGGAAGGTGCGCGCAGGTGAAGTCATCACGAAAGAAAAGGCCCAGGAGCGCCCGGTAGTGCTTGTCATGGAGGACTGCAAACACGAAGTGCAGGCGTTTGGGCTGTGTGCGAGCTGTGGGGCAGACATGACAGGGTGCGTTCATGCAGTAGTGCATCGTTCGAAACAAATGTCGTTTACTGACGCTCGGACTCTATTCAGGACGGAGCAGCAGAACGGAATAGAGATGACTCACTCTGCCAACGGACCGGTTGTATCGCTGGAGGAAGCTCAACGCCACGAGCGCGAGATCATGGACGACCTGTTGAAAGCGCGGAAACTGGTACTCGTTGTCGATCTCGATCAAACTATCGTACATGCTACAGTCGACCCGACTGTAGGCGAATGGCGTGCGGAAGGTGCTGCATGGAAGGCGAGACAGGCGGAGAAACCCGACCCTTCCGACGAATGCAACCCCAATTGGGAAGCCCTTGAGGACGTTGGCGAGTTCAGGCTCAAGCCAGAATCTATGGGCAAGAACAGGATGTATGAACACGAAAGTCCTGTGTACTACCTCAAGCGCAGGTATGTTTCGAGCCGTTGATACAAGCTGGGATTCGGCCTCACATCACCCTCAGACCTGGCTGGCAGCATTTCCTCGAGACCATGGCCACCAAATATCAAATGCACGTCTATACTATGGGAACCAGAGCTTATGCCGAGCAAGTCTGTGCGCTGATCGATCCGGACAACAAGATCTTTGGCTCGCGACTATTGAGCCGGGACGAAAGTGGAAGTGTCACACAAAAGACACTTGCGAGATTGTTCCCTTGCGACCAATCTATGGTCGTAATCATCGATGACCGTGCTGACGTCTGGCAGTGGAGTCCGAATCTCGTCAAAGTCGTTCCATGTACGTTTACTTGTCATCTCCACCAAGTCACTTCTCATCTGCGCGTAGACGACTTTTTTGTCGGGATTGGGGACATCAACTCGAGCTTCCTGCCGAAAATCGAGCCTCTTACGCCTCCGACTTCAAGTGCTCCATTGCCGGATCCGGATCCTCCAGAACCGAGCACACCCGAAGAAGTGGCAAGAAAGGAGCAAGCTGACAAAGACCTGCTGGCCAAGAATACCATGGCGTTAGAAGCACAGGTGGAAGAGCGCCCTTTGGCGAAGAAACAAGAGCAATTGAAGGTGTCTCACGAGTCGCACGAACAAAATGGGTCCAAGGAAGAGCCTGCTAGTCTACCTGCTCCACAGCTGAAGGAGGCTTTGCTCAAGAATGACGATCACGAGCTTGAACGGCTGAGTGAGGTCCGTGCCCTCTTCATCCGTTGAACTATTGCTCACGGCCTCAGTTGTTGGATCAAGTGCATGGGCGCTTCTTTGCCTCATACGAAGCATCACCCAAGTCACCGAGCAAGATCGGGGGCAGACAAGAATATGACACTACTGTGGGTGCTTGTCAGTGCCTCTGAAGGACCGTTCCATTGAATCTCAATATAGCGAATCATCCCACGGATGAGAAGAGAGGTGTTTGATGGACTCGTCATTCTGTTCTCCAGCGTGATTCCCCTGGATACAAATCCTGAGACAGCCGAAATCTGGAAACTTGCAGTCATGTTTGGCGCCGAATGCACCACGACGCTTGAGCCTGGTGTCACGCATGTTGTCGCAGCCAAGGTCTCTTGTTCGAATCCGTACCGTCTCACACAATTCTCACACGAAGTATAGCGCGGGACTGTCAAAGTCGACTCAGCTAGGAAGCGGGGAAACATCAAGATTGTGTGGCTCCAGTGGTTCTTGGACTGCATCAACCTGTGGCACAGGCAGGACGAGACCCCGTACTTACTCGACGATCCACCCCCCGTCGCCACTGATCCCCTCCGAGTCTCTTCTTCCTCCGGAGATGTGGGGGAAGAGGAATGGGACAGCGCACTGCAAAACGGCTCGCAGGTCGCTTCCGAGCTATCGCTCGACGCCATCGACTGGAATGATATCGACGACGAGATCGATGCTGCCATGGACGAGAGCGACGACGACCGCGGCTATGGGGATCAGATGTCGGAAGATGACTGGACCGAGGACGGCAGCAGGTGCGTGATTTCGCCATGTGCGTACGCCCCGCCTGATTTCATCGTTTCAGCGTGGCCACGAACAGCAATCCCCCGACACCCAGTCGTCGGAAACGCATGAGAAGTCTCACGCCCTCTGACATCCGGAACGGCCACGCAGGGGAGACTGGATCGCCTCTAGCCAAACGAAAAAAAATCGCGGCTGAGCGCACGGGGGCGTCGAAACTCAAGGAAGCTGTGAGCGCCGAAGAGATCGGTCCCGTCGCACCGCAGGCTGCCGTCGTCCCACCCGCCACCAGTCCCGTATCTCGCATTGACGAGGGAGATAGCGAGGAGGAGTACGAGGAGGAAGAAGAAGACGACTTTCTGGCGCGCGAGCTCGAAGATGAGCTAGGATAGGATGAAGCTTGCCCTTGTTTGTGTATTTTGTATATAGGCATCTTTGTTTCTGGGACACCGAATTTGTGTATCTGTAGCTTTTAATCGGCGAATTGAGTAATACACACAAGCTGTATCGTAGTAGCATTGATGCATTGCGCCGCTCTATCTGCGTCTAGAGTCTAGACCTCGAAAGCGTTGGAATGCAGATGGAGCGGCTGATCATCAAGTACAGGAAAACATGATCGGAGATCAAAACGTGATTGGAGTGGGATTCGAACCCACGCCCTTTCGGACTAGATTGCCAACGGCAAGTTGTGCTCGCAGGTGCGAGTTAATCCTTAGTCTAGCGCCTTAGACCGCTCGGCCATCCAACCATGCGTAGACGTGTGCTGTTTAGGATTATAGCCTCTTGAGCTGTTTCACAAGTGCCTGCGCCCTTCCAACCACCACAGTCTGTCGCTCATCGTTCGCGATTTGTGCTTGTCAATATTTGCTTGATGTTTGATCCGCCTGACAAGTCTCCTTCCTTCCGTCTCGACCCAAATCAAGCCTTGAGCTGAAATAATCTGGGGGCCGTCAGACACGCAACTCATATCCACCCATGTGCCGTCTGCAAGATAATCTCTCCATGTCGACCACGTTTGTTGATCGCGGTGCTATCCCCATTTGACTAGGTCAGTCTGACTGACCGTGAAAACTCCGGGGACATCAACGGATCACCTGCTGGATGGGGTGGAGTGAGAATGGCGTGTCGTGTGGGTCCCAATTAAGGAGTTAGCTCCGGACGGACAGTGCGTCAAGGCTATGGGATAAAGACACTGAGCGTGGCCGGCGAGAGAGATACCCTCCCACCTTGCGACGACTCGCCCGTCCAGCACTCTGTCCTCCCTGTACTTAACTCTGAGCTACCGGGCAATGACGGTGAGATCGCTGTGCGCCGCGCCTGGCATCAATCTGATTGCCACCGCGCGCAAGTCTCTGGAGCCGCTCGAGGACGATGATGCCCCGGATGCGCTGCAGCTGCGCACATTCGAGGACTTCGCGCCGCGGGGACTGCTCCTTGCGCGCGACCCCCGAGCCAAGCATCGCGTGCACTGCCCTCGGTGCGCGTGCGAGGGTGCGCATGTCGTTGTCAAGTCGGGTGACTGACTGACGCTCCGGTTGCGGTACAGGGGGCTGCTGTGTGTTCTACCGCCGTCTGGATCAGATACCGCTCGAGCGGGTGACTCTCAGAGCCTCCCCGCCACCATCGCTCCCGGACGCAAGACAGCAGCGTTCACGTCCAGCACCGCCGTCTGGGTGAACAATGTGCGTGGCCAATGCCGTTACTGACGCCCTGTCCTATCTCAATTTCTGACTTTCCGGCAGGCCCTTACCTGGCGCTCCTATTGCCGAGGTCTTCGAATTGCGCATATAGCTACTTTCCTACCTGCCAACTCTTATTCCAACATTTAATAGTCCCCATTGTATAATATAATACCGCGGCTCTCGTCTCCTCCACGTTCATTCCTCTGCAGACCTCCGGCTCTCCCGCATCACCTGTCTGGATGATGGGTGGATGCACGCGCGCGTGGTTGGAGTTATCTTAATCAATCCCTCAATCGATCTCTCTATACATATACTCATCCGAGTCCGTCGGGATGAGGCCTGCCAACTGATAAGATCGATAAGATCGGGCCGAAGAAAGTCCATGGTGCAATTAGAAATTAGCATACAGGATATGACATGGAAGTCTCCTTCGAACTCAAAGATCGTCTCCCCCCTCCCCAAACATGATCTTGAGATTCTCGATGCTCTCCGGATCCGAACGCGATGAACCAGAACCGCTACCCCTGAAAGCTTCCTTGACGATCGCGGTCTTGCGCTTTTGTATCTGCAGAATCCGGCCTTCGATCGTGTTCGAGATCTACCGTGATGTCAGCAACACAGTGTGCAGAGAATGACGGGTAAGCTCGTACAATGAAATGCTTGACATAGACCGTTTTCTCCTGCCCGATGCGATGGACGCGGTCGATCGCCTGGTTTTCCGTCGCCGCATTCCACCAACAATCCATCATAAACACGTGGTTGGCGCAAGTGAGCTGTGCATCGCGTGAGGAGTAGCAGCATGTCACAATTGGGAGCTCGCACGTTCAGTCCGACACCGCCGGCTTTCAAACTGACGACTAGCACCTTCGGTTTCCTCATCGGCGCTCTGAACTGCTCGAGAGCCGCACCCCGGGCCTTGACATCCATGGATCCATCGAAGCGATAGTGCTCAAACTGTTCGCGTTTCAGGACGGTCTGTATCAAATCCAGGTAGGACGTGAATTGGGAAAACACGACAGCGCGGAAGCACGGGTCTTGGTCCCTCAGCTTTCCTGCATAGCATGCTCAGATGACGCGTAGAAACAGTTCGTTATTCACGAACGGAGATTCAGTGCCAGTGCGTCCAGCTTCGTTGATGACCGGAAGTCATTCTTCCTCAGAACGACACTAGGCTGTGGATCTTGAGAGCTGCTGGGCGGGCGAAAGACCTCGATCAGTTCAGATTCCTAGAGTGCACTAGTCGTCAACGCGCTTCCACCTTCGCGATCGAGCTGGCAGAGCATACCTGGATCGGCCCTCGCGAACAAGTCGGACAGCAAAGCTCCTTCCCTTGTTCTGCAGCTGTCGCGCACAACGTCACTATGCAATCCTTGCAGCTGCCCAATTCAGCCGCCTAGTCGCAATCCTGCAAGAGACGCCCACCATCGGTGCATGCATTCCGGCAAGATCATCGGGGATTCCATCACATCCAGACACACCGGACACTCGGCGTCCTGTTCATCCACGTCCAGATTCTCCAAAGCGTTCTTCGCAAACACGTTGCTCTCGCTCGCATCATTGGCAAAGCGCTTGATCAGCTCGTTCACGTCAATGTCATTCTCTTCGTCCTCGCCGCTGCCGCCAGACTTGCTGTTGCTTGAAAGCACCAAGTTGGGATGAAGCACAGCTCGGCGGAGCCTCATCAGCATCGCCAAGATGTGGGTGTAGTTCTTGCCAACCAAGCCTTTGGCGTGCAGGTCTTCGAAGTCGCGTTTTGCAGAAATGAAAAGGCTGTTATATATCCTCCGCTCCAGCGATGAGAACTCGAGATAATCGATCTCAACCTGTTAAGGCGTCAGCATGAAAGATTTCTGGATAGGAGCACTTGCCTCCTTGGGAGGGAGCTCCACGATACGCTTCCCATTGGTATCAAGCATCGTCTTCTCCCGCCGGAGGAGGATGGACTCGAGAATGATCTGCACAATCTCGATTGCTTTCGGGTCTCGCGCCAGGAACGGCATCGTAATAAACCTAGCGAGACAGGTGAGCCGGGGGGACTGTTCGGCCAAAGCACCGGGACTTGCGATCGAAAGAAGGAAAAGTCGGCCCAGGGTCGAAAGTCGAGAAATTTGCTAATCGTTAATGAGCCGGAGAAATCGCCTTTCAATCCATCACGCACAGCAACGAAAAGAGATCCTCCAGCTTGTTCACGATCGGGGTCCCGGTCACAGCCCATCGCCTTCTCGCATGAAGAGCATACACAGCTTTGGCCGTCTTGCTCGTCCTTGATTTGCACGAATGCGCTTCGTCTAGAACGATACGGAGCCATTCAACTGGAAGGAATCAGAGCCCGGCCAACCAGGGTGACCTGTTCTCACCGTCGAACACCGGCGACCTCGCTTTTGCGTGCTCAGACGCTAGTACGCCGTACGACGTGACAACAACTTTGATGGCCCTGTTACCCTCCTCCTCGCCGTCTTCATCGTCCAGCGCATCTTGTAGATCGAGCCGGTTCTGCCCATGCCACAAGATGACATTGACAGTTCCAGGCTTGCTGCAGCGCAGAACTTCGGCCTCCCATTGAGCCAGCAGAGATGTGGGCGCGACAATCAATGTGGCTGAGGGTGGTTTCTTGGATGTGCGGCGCGGCGCTTTCTTGAAAGCAGCATTCAGTTTCAGTTGTCGATGCTTGTTGCCGGAGCTTGCTTCGTCTGCCGGGCGCTCGGTATCCGGTTCGCAGTTAGTGTGAATGAGGGCGGCCAGTTCGATGGTCTTGCCCATGCCCATCTCTGTGACAGTTGACGATCTTGCGCATATCATCACGTTTGAGCTCACCGTCAGCAAGAATACCCCCTCGGCCTTTACGTTCCGCTCTGGGGAAGTCCAGGCTCAGCTCACCGGAATACGCGTTGAAGTAAAAGACTTTGTCCTCCGCAGTCAAGTCGATGAAACCTCCGGTCTGAGGTGACGGGAATATGTATCTGAATGAAGAGAATCAGGTTTTACAATCAAGCCAATGACAATTCACGAACTGGCTCCACAGAGGATGCATCGAACTCGCCTCCCGCGCGTCCATTTTCCCGAGCTCAATGGAATGCATCCATCTACAAATGATGAGCGACAGAGTAACAAACGGCGCGGAGACGAACAATAGAGCTTGTTTCTGATAACCTCGCAAGGTGAGCGTGAAGGTATCTGGGGGCTCCATTTCCCCCATAGTCTTGTCTCCCCTTTGCGCTTTCTGGTAGATCAGGTCGATGTCATTCTCCGTTAACTCTTCGCCCTCGTCCACTTCGATCTCCTCGCCGTCGCCGACGATTTCAGTGACCTTTTTGGGTTTGTGTTTCGCAATGTTCTTCATTGCCTCGTCATGGATTTCCTCGTCCGATTTGCTTCCGGAGAGATTCGCTCCTGCTTGAGGTCGCAGATTGAGGACCTCGAACAGTTTGAGTACAGATGCCTTCCTTTCACGCAAAGCCTGTTCGTCCAAAGTCTCCGTTCCTTCGGACATCAGGAAAGTCTTGTCCGTAGCGGTTTCTTGGGCGGTTTCTTGACCGAAAGGCTTGAATGCAGTGGGCAACATGTAGACGTCCGCCGAGACGATAAGATTGGCCCCAACGGTAAGTTTGTTCGGACAATCCGTCATCTTGCCCCGGAATTCGACGATACCTGATGTCACGGCGCATTAGCGCTCTGTACAAACGGCGGAGGCGGATTCGAACCGAAATCAAGCAGTTTCGCGATCCAAGAAGAGACGTCCTGAGGTAGTCTGCCAAATTCTAAATTGTTCAGATCATTATAGAATGTTTATAGAGTCTGCTTACCGAACCCCCGAGAGTTGTACAGCCGCACAATGGTATCAGGCTTTTTCTTCGAGGATGACTTGGCCGGCTGCTTCAACATTGCAGTGAGAGACATCTGCTTCTTGCCGTCCCCAGACTTTTTAGTCTTTGCTGTGCCCAGCGCTTTCTTGTCCTCCGTTTTCTTTTGGCCGTGTGGGGACCCTCGCAAGATTTGCACCGGGTCGTTCACTTTGATGTACCCCGTGCCGGACACGTTGCTCCATGCGTGTCCGAACACCATTTCGCCGATGTAAGTGGGGGACGAGTCCGGTGTTGGCGGTGCCTCCGGGGATACGCGTCGTTTCTTCGCCGCAGGCGGCACAGATGTGCGCGCAGGGTCGGCTGAAGGTGCCTCTTGGTCCGGTCGCGCTTTCAGCGGGCTCTTTGGGTCGTCAACTACCTCATCCGTGTGTGCGGCGCGTTTCTGCGGAATGTGGGACTCCACTTTCGTCTCTTCATCGCTGTCGACGATGATTATGGGAGGCGAAGAGGCGCGAGACGATGGGCTCGACGTCTCTGGAGCCGTCCGGGCCTCAGATTCCGGAGCCACATCCTCCGTGTCCTCTTCTTCATCCGAGCTGGCAAAGAAGAGAGGCGGGCGCGAAGGCTCGGGGCCCATCTCGTCGTCCGACATCGTGTTCTGGAATCAAACGCGTCGCGATGTGTCACGCCTTACGCGCCGTCACACACCACAAACATTTTCAAATCATCTCTCTTGATCTCGACCTCCAAAAATGCAGCGGCCTCTTCCCATGGTGGATCGAACCTTTACACCCCGATGTTTTTACTGACACGGCTGGTTCTAGCAACCGACTGTTATTCTGCTCAAGGAGGGCACAGATACGTCGCAGGGAAACCCGCAACTACTGTCCAACATCGCCGCATGTCTCGCGATCTCGGAGACGCTGTCCAGCACGCTCGGACCCCGTGGGATGGACAAGCTGATTGTGAATGATCGCGGGGAGGCGCAGATCACCAACGATGGCGCGACGATTCTCAAGCTGCTGGATATTGTCCACCCTGCCGCGCGGACGCTAGTCGACATCGCTCGGGCCCAGGACGCGGAAGTTGGGGACGGCACGACTAGTGTGGTCTTGCTTGCTACGCAACTCTTGAAAGAAGTCCGGACGTATATCGAGGAGGGCGTCAGTCCGCATATCATCATGAAGGGATTCGGAAAGGCATCGCAGATGGTACGCGTCACCCTTTTTGGTCATCGACCGGCTGACTTCAGCTTCAATCCACAGGCAATTGATCGGATAAAGGAATTGAAAATCTCTGTCGACAAGTCTGACCCTGAGTATGTTGCATCCTCAGGTCTTGTATGCCCGTCTAATTTCGTCTAGAACCTTCCGATCCCTGCTCTTGAAATGTGCCTCGACTTCCATGTCTTCCAAACTCATCCACTCGGAAAAGCCCTTTTTCTCGAACATGGTCGTTGACGCTGTGCAATGCCTGGATCAAGACGAACTTGACGAATCGCTCATCGGTGTCAAGAAGGTTGCCGGAGGAGGCATGCAGGATTCGCTTCTGATCAAGGGCGTCGCATTCAAAAAGACCTTCACATACGCCGGTGCCGAGCAGCAGCCTAAATCCTTCCGCAATCCCCTGATCGTCTGCTTGAATGTCGAGCTCGAACTCAAGGCCGAGAAAGACAACGCCGAAGTCCGTGTTGAGGCAGTTGCCGACTACCAAGCGATCGTCGACGCCGAATGGGAGATCATCTATCGCAAACTCCAGCTGATCGAAAAGACGGGCGCCAAGGTCGTGCTCAGCAAACTGCCGATCGGCGATCTCGCAACGCAGTGGTTTGCTGACCGAGACATCTTCTGTGCGGGCCGTGTCGTCGCAGGGGACTTGCGTCGTGTCGTGCAGGCCACCGGCGGTGCGATCCAGTCTACGTGCTCAGACATCAAGCCAGAGCATCTTGGAACGTGTGGTTCGTTCGAGGAGAAGCAGATCGGCGGAGAACGATACAACCTGTTCGAAGACTGCCCGAAAGCGAAAACGTGCACGCTCGTGTTGCGTGGCGGTGCCGAACAGTTCATCGAGGAAGTCGAACGCAGTCTGCATGATGCGATCATGGTCGTGAAGCGGGCGGTCAAGACTGGGGAGGTTGTCGCTGGCGGCGGTGCTATCGAGGTGCGCTTCCTGTGACTCCCACGATCCTTACGCTGACCTTTTGTAGATGGAACTCTCTGCGTTCATCCGCAAAGAGGCTTTGGCGGTTCCTGGAAAGCAGCAGCTCGTGATGACCGCCTTCGCCAAGGCGCTCGAGATCATTCCCCGGCAAATCTGTGATAATGCCGGCCTCGATTCGACGGATATCCTGAACAAGCTGCGCATGAAGCACGATCCCCGCAACGAGCAGAGGGAGATCTGGGCTGGTGTAGATGTTGACGGCGAGACTGGAGTGCGCGACAACATGGACGCTTTCGTCTGGGAGCCGGCACTGGTCAAGTTGAACGCGATCAGCAGTGCAGCCGAGGCCGCTTGCCTGATCCTTAGCATCGACGAGACGGTTAGAAATCCGCAGAGCGAGGCGGTCAGTCCTTAATTTCTCGATATCTTCTCCTCCCTGACATTTCTCGCAGCAAAACGCTGGTCCGAAAGCCCCTCCTGGTGCAGCACAGCGGGCGCTGCGGTCACGTGGTCGGAGGTGATGAGTGATGATTACCTCACGCTGTCATCGGCTAGATATGAAGAAATCAACTTGTTATTCTGTACTCCGATGGCGCAATGCCGTGCTTCGTTTGCGCTCTCCGTCCGACATCCTTGCTCATGCGCCATTCTCTTTAAGTAGTGCGAAAATATGTTGCTGCCGAAACGATTCGCACACACGATTAGTTTTCGCCATGACCAGCTTCTTCCCTGCCAGTCGCTTGTCGATCCACGAATCTGTTGATGAAAAGCGAAGCACGCGTTCGAGTACCAGCTCCGAGAATCCGCCACTCGGAACGCCCTTATCGCAACCCGGTGGCTTATTCTCACGGTGGCGAGGGCCGCCCCGACAGGTGCTGGACCTGGATAGTATCGCGACTCAACCAAGTGTCTTCGATGACTCCGTCACGCTAGAAGTTTATCGGCCACCCCCGCAGTACGAGAATGCCCATCGTTTTGATCCCAAGGCCCGGTGGACGTGGAGAGAAGAGAAGGTGCGGACTGTTCGACACGCGCCATTATTGCTTGTCCTTCTGAGACCGCTCGTAGCGCGTCGTGCGGAAGATAGATATCCGCATCATGGTGTGGGCCGGCAAGTCCCCTCGTACCTAACGCCTTGGTTTGGTTTAGGCTGAATCCGACACAGCTATCATGTTCTTCGCCCTCGACCTTGACCGCACCAACATCTCCCAAGCCAACACCGACAACTTCCTCGGAGACTTGAAGCTGACCACGAATGACTTCAACCTCGGCAACACGCTTTTCCGGCTCTCGTTCCTGATTGCAGGTGGGTGCGCTCAGCACCAAGAAATGCACGTTGTGTGTAATTGTGTTGACAGAACTGCCGTCGCAACTGATATCCAAGCGTGTGGGTCCCGATGTCTGGGTTCCTTGTCAGGTATGTATCTTCACATTCCCATTACATCTCTGCTTCTCCTCGACTGACATGTGTCCAGATGATCGCCTGGAGTGTGGTCGCTCTGAGTCAGTACTGGCTGAAAGGCAGGACTTCGTTCCTCGTCACGAGATTCCTCCTAGGATTCTGCGAAGGAGGTGCGGAGTTTCTATCTTCGACTTCTTGTGCTGACGCATCTGACCCAGGTTTCATCCCCGACATTGTGCTGTACTTGTCTTATTTCTACACGCGGACCGAGCGTAAGCGCTTTGATGATCTAGATGGATTCCGCCTGACTTTTATCCAGTTCCCATCCGCCTGGCATTCTTTTGGGTGTCCAACTACGTGTCGCACATCTTCAGTGCTTTTCTGGCAACAGGTATCCTCAAGCTCCGAGGTGTCAACGGCCAATCAGGCTGGCGGTATCTCTTCTTGCTAGGTATCTCGTATTCATCACCTTCTCGTTTATGGTCCATTTTCTGACTGCCTATTCAGAGGGGTGTTTTACCTTGTCCATTGGGTTGCTCTCGTTCTTGCTGATGCCTGTGAGTCGATCGAGTTATATCTCATATTGTTTTGCTGACGTATCGTTCAGCCGGGACCTACTCAGACAAAGAACAAGTGGTTTCGGCCAAAAGGCTGGTTTTCCGATCGGTGAGATCACTTTGAATAGCATGTTTCTGTCTAATGAGTCGTGATATAGGGAGGAGATTATCATGGTCAATAGGATTCTGCGCGACGACCCGTCCAAGTCCGACATGCACAACCGCCAGGGTCTGTCCCCGAGAAAGATCTGGGAGGGGATGAAAGATTGGAGGCTGTGGCCCTTGTACATTCTTGGCCTCGTCCACATGAGCAAGTCGCTTCCTTGTGACGCTACTGGTACTAAGCAGACCCCGAACAGTCCCCACTGGCCCACCCCAAGTCTACCTCACCCTGTCTCTGAAGCATCTCGGCTTCACCACGACGCAGGCTAATCTGTTGACCATTCCTTCGACCGTGATTGGGCTCATCATGCTGCTCGTCGCTGCGTTTCTCAGTGAGGCGATCAACAGCCGAGTACTGGCTACGATGATCCTCCAGATTTGGGCGCTCCCCCTGTTGATTGCACTGCATTCATTCAACTCGTTCACATCACAGTGGTCCTATTTCACTGTCGTCACGCTCATTACGGGTTTCCCGGTGAGTAACCATCTCCTCACGGATTGGGCTTTCAACTTAATGTTGCATCCAGTACGTCCACCCCATCCAAGTCGCGTGGACGTCGAGAAACTCGTTCTCTGTCCGGACGAGGACTGTGTCGGCCAGCTGCTACAACATATTCGTACAAGCGGGCGCCATCATCTATGTCAGCTGAGCGGCATCCTCCGCACGACCACTGCTGATCCCATGAGCAGGCCAACATCTACAGGAAAGACGATGCTCCGCTGTGTAAGCCGTCCTTGCACCGTTTTCAGTCCATGCACGACTAAGACCTTCCTCAGATAAACGGGGAAACCGCACGTTGATCGGGATCTGCTGCATGAACATCGTGCTGTACATCCTCACCTTCTTCTTCTACCGCACAATCAACCGCGCTCGGGACAGGAAGTGGGATTCGTGGTCCAAAAAGGTCAGTCCTGATAGAGATCCGATGCAATGCATTTGTCCGCGATCGCTCATGCCGCCATTACTAGGAGCAGCAGGAATATGTTGAAACGACCAAGGATGTTGGGAACCAGCGGCTCGATTTCAGATTTGCATATTAGATGTCATGTGTACTTGTAGTACAAGGACGAAAGCTCTGTAAAGATTATTTGCGGCGTCTCGGACTGGAAATCAGAAAGTACAAGCAGAATAGAATCTGCTTGCATGGATTCACAGCTCATGCGGCTTGATAGCTGATGCTTTGGGCTGGACTTGAACTTCTGGCATCCACATTCGAGTCAATAAGTATGTTGACTAGGCATGACTGTAATAGTACAATCATGACCACATTAACTAGTCTCATCTGTGAATGGCACTGCTCGCTGCTCTCTTACACGCTTCCAACTATCGAGAGCGAAGCAGGGACAAGTTGGAACCGGACTGGATCACGAAAGGCTCAAAACACGCCCCAAATGAAGTCGAGGCCAACCGAAGCGTGGGAACTTGGTCTATGATGGTTTTACCGAACAGCCGAACATAGCCAAACATGCGCGTTCCTCATCCGACAGCGACTGTCTACTGTCTGATCAAATTTGAACTGAGTTACTCTGACTTCCCCAAACTGTTCGACCGATGAGACAATCATACATGAATGGCCAAGGTCCGATATCGCTCCCCACTCTATCAATGCCTTCGTAGGACCGTGCTCGAACCTTGCCCAAGTTTGCCGATGGAACTAATGGCTAGTGCGCCTTTCGCCCGGTCCAGTCACTTCATCGGGGTCTTCATTTGCACCTCAGTGCTAATTCTCCGCTCTATCCCTCCATTCACTTGTGGCGCCGTCCTGGGTCCCCGCATTCTCTCGGGTGATATCACGGTCGTGTCTTCGCTTCCGCTGCTGCGCATACATAGCTTGCCCCATGGACATCCCCTTCGTGACTATGAACGGGCAAGGGAGCGTCAGTATATAAGCTGTGGGCGATTAGGATTGCTGGTTCAGCAAGCAGTCTAGTGCGATTATGTCATACCACCGCTTCCAGCCTCAAATGCCGTGGTCGCCACCTGCGCGACAAGATACGTGGTCCATGTACGTGGGCATTTCTTTCTTCGAGTCGTTGTCTTATTCGACGTCAGTAAGGGAGGTGTGTTGACTGATGCGCTGCCGTTTGGCTTGGCCAACAACGCACACCGAGGATCAGGGGATGTTGAACGAATCAAGGCCATCATGGAATTAGCGGAGCGCGCGAGCTCGGGGGTTCACCAGGTATCAACCGGAGCGCACCAAGTCCGATAATTGGATGCAGGGCTGAATGAGTTGACAGGGGGATCCCAGTTACCCCTCTGATCGGAACGGTCACGGAAACAATGACGAAGACCTACAACGTATCGTGAAAGCCATAGAGGATCTCAACTCTCCAAAAATTCCTTTCTTTTCCCGTCATGGAGGTAGGAACGTGGAAACGTATGTGTTTCCATGCAGGGGCCCTCGATCGTCATTATCCTAACATGACGATAGCACCCTTCCGGCCCTGGTTGGATTCATAATGACGGCGCTCTACAACTCGAACAATGTGAGATCCATGGTCAGTTTACAGGCCTCGACTGATGCTGTCTTCCAAGGTCGCCTCCGAGGCTTCTCCCGTGACAAGCTTAATCGAGCTTGAAGTTGGCGAAATGCTCTGCCAAAAGATTGGGTTTTCAGCAGACAAGAACGTGGACATCCACCCATGGGCTCATTTGACTCGTAACAACGGTGTGTCACTCGCCTGTTGCACAATCCTACTCATTTTGAATCGACGCGACCAGACTCAGCTCTGAAGGAAGTGAGTTGGTCTGACGACGAGAATGTGCGCGCATGGAATGACCACTTCACAACAGAGCCTCGAAGTCGCTCGCAGGCTCAAGTTTATCCCGCTGGCCCTGCGCAGCGCCATCGACGATGGACAGCTGGAATTCCTCGGCGACATGGCCAAGGTCACGCCAGCGGGTGCTGAAACCAAGCTTCTGAAGCAATGCAGTGTCTGGGAGCTACTTAACACGCCTTCAGACGAGATTGCCCGTATGGTGGATAGTCTGCAAGTGGAGTCCGGAATCAGTGCCAAGCTCCTGCAAGACGCGATTCGCCCGTATTTGATGGAGCAGACGAGGATCTCGGAAAGATATAATATTGATTCGGACCTGCCTCCCGGGTTCATCGTCTCTTCCTCCCAACAGTTCCGGTGGGGCAAGTCGCAGGGTGGGTTTCTCTTCTTCGCAATATCAATCACGTCCCAACAGACCCCTCGCTTTTAGTGCATTACGGTCCCGGCTACGACACTGTTCAAGTCGATAACGCTGCACGACTCGACATCCCCAAACTCGATGCGCTTCTCCAAGACCGATTAGACAAGAAACAGGCTGTCTGCGCTGTCGCTGTGACTGTGGGCACGAGGGAAGGTGCCGTTGACCCGCTCGATCAAGTGCTCGCGCTCCGGGACAAGTACGAGCAGATGGGGTTGAGTTTCCAAGTCTCTGTAGGTGCGTGTGTGTGCTGTGATCATGCATTGCTTGTTGTCCCTGATTACAACACGAGATGCATGCCGGGCTGGTTGCTTCCTTGATGCAATCTCCAGCTCCAACACATCTTCGCTGAGCCAGCATACCACTCGACAGTTGCAGGCTCTCAAACGGGCAGACTCGGTGATACTCGATCTATACAGCGATGGTGCTGCGCCTTCCCCCGCCGGGGCTGCTTGCTATCGAAACTCGCGTGTCACCAAGATGACGATCGATCCTACTGGTGTCTACGACGGCGATACAGAACCGCAAGTTTCGTTACGCCAGACTGCGACAGTGCTGACTTCGTCTCCAGCGATCTATCACCGATCTCAGCGGCGGCAGTATATGTCCACCACAAAGTCGTCGGTCAAGGCGCAGCTCCCTCTTTTCTTAGGGACCTCTCGTTGACAGTCAAACAAGTGGGCATCTTTTCAGTGTGTTGTTCGTGTCTGACGGTTCTCTAGATGTCGAGGCACTGGTCAATGATCTCTGAAACCAGCAAAGACTATGTGGTAGTCCCACTCATTCCGCAGGTTAACGATGGCGACTCGGCTCAGCATGCGACCGAGAAACAGTTCGTTCACAGTCGGATGAGTGGGCGGGCCCATGGACAGTTCTACGCTGATCCTGATGCTATGACCGCGGACAATGTGGCTCCAGATCTGAACGTCATCGTCTTTGCCTCCAACTTCATGCTTCATGGCAAGCCGAACACGGATATCGAGGACGCCAACTATTTCAACCACCGCGTTCGCGATCTCCTGACGGTGGCCCAACAAATCCCTTTCAGTGTCAACTCGAGTGTCATGGGGGCCGAGTATGATTCTTGTGTACGCGAGTATCGGAAGTGCGTCTCGACCTGTCTTGAACGCGGCTCTCCTATTGACTGATCACGGAGGCGCCTGGGACTGGAAACAATGTCCACTCAAGATCTCCTGGTTTTGAGCAGCGCAATCACCTTCCCAGTACATGGCCCGACTGTCGACAGCATGGAACTCGCCCGCCATATTTTCGAGGAAGAGGCCAGAGCTGCGATCGATCGGGCGACCGTCAAACCTCAGATTCATCGGTTCATCATGTTTGGGCGGGGCGACATCTATCTGACAAACGAGCCTCTGTTCCATAATGCGAACGGTCGCATGCACCTTGTGATGCATGCGGAACTATCTGAAAGAGCGATCAAAAGCGTGCAAGTTACCATTCCCGATGCTTCTCTGAACGGGCTCTTCACTTGCAGAACTTTGCACGAAACGACACTCGATGAGATCGTGGCTTCCAAAGAGATACAGGTCGTGTTTGATCAATGGTGAGTCTCGAGGTACTGGCCGCCCACTCCCCGATCTTCGCTGACCCCGGTTCTGTATAGTGAATCTGAGACCGTAACATTGAGCGACCTCAAAGTCGTCAAGATTCGCTCTCTCGAGTCCCGTTGGCGGGACGAGTCGTACAATCAGCGGTCTACTCCGTTCTATGCATTTGGCAGTCCGGAGGAGATCCACATCGAGCATATGTTGCTTCACGCTCAGAACACACAGATCTCCGCCGACCGCGTCAAACTCGAGGTCCAGCCGCCGTTGAGCGCCGAGCAACTGGCGCGTGGAGTCCGAATTGAGCTCATGCGGCCGGAAATGTCGTTCCTGCCCCCCACGGAGGAGAACTCGCCGGACCGGGTGTTCAAGCGCGGCGCGTCGTTCGATGTCGTTGTCTTCGACGATCCCCATGCGCCGGATGCCCACGGACCCGGTCTGGCCGAGGGAGGAGATGAGCTCGGCCGTGGGCGGATCGAATTGTCCGGCGGTGTCCGTGTCGACTGGAAATGCCTCAATCAGCAGGATTTCGGTGTCGCGCCCTCGACCACCCGAAAGACTAGCCCGCCTCCTCCCAGCACTCCCTCCGAAACTTGGGGATATCAGCGTCATGATAACATCCGTTTCGGGCAACACGGTCATGGTGGGGGGCATGGATTCCGTTATTGAGCCGATTCCGGACGAATGTGAGGTCCATGAGGTGTGGCGTGTGATCAGTAGAGCAGTCAGTTGCATAAGCCAATGTCAGGCTTCAGACTCTCTCTAATTTTAACCTGTGGCTGAGCTTCCCAGAGCTGCAAAAAGCACAGGCAACACTGGTTCTGTGAATCGGAAGCATGATGGACAAATAGTTGATTGATCACGTGGGCAAAGAATATGCGGGATCCCAAGGTCAATTGACACGGAATCAACTTGAAATCAACGTTTCTCGCTCTTACAGCTCGGCGTAGGTCCGATTCTAGCTTGACCAAGGCCCCTCCGCGAAACCTTTTGGGCTCTCGCGGAATGCTCCAGCGCCATTAGTCGCGCGATTGTTTTCTGCTGCGTGCCCATCCGTCCACAGCTCGCTGAGCGCATCCTCTCCATTCATCCTGTTGTTCTCAGTCAAACCTATTCTCGATGTGGCGCTCAATCATGTGCTGGCGGCCTAGCCTTGGTGCGAACCACTGGGATCCCACGCGTTTAGGCCCCTCTTCCTATTCTCAATCGGCGCTTGCTCGGTCGTGAGGGCCATATTGCGGCCGCATACTCACTGTCGCCACTCTGGATCGCTCTCATGGCACTGGAATTATGACATGGGCACTTTCGAACGCGTCCTATAAATGGCTGAGATGAGAAGGGATCCGGTTCAGCACAGGCCAGACTGCGCAGACCACGATGGCCTCTACCAATAATCAGCAACTTGATACTATCCAACTCGACCCCTCGATTATCTCAACATGGTATGCGACATGCTCGGTCAATGTCGTCGCTGACTCCATCGTTATCGCCTCAGGTTTCAAGGTACTGGCCCTCCTTTCCATTCTTCCTCCAAACCCCGCGAGGGTGACGATGCACACCTTAGGACCAGGGGAAGCGAGTTTCGATCTGTTCAAGTCGACCTTCCAAGCTGTTCTTGATGCTGCGACGTGGCCGACCGGCGGCGGAGGCCTGGTGCGTCGTACCGCTCCCCGCCGCCGCAGCGTTAGATCTAGGACGCTGACTCGTGCGTCTCAAGGATTTCGTTGAGAAGGAAGTGGATTTCGCGTCACAGCAGAACGCGGACGCCGTGCTTTACAAGCAGATGACGGCTGCAATGAGTGGTGCTGGGGCGGGTTCGATGGTGTCGCGCGTATCACAGTATCGGGGCTACATGGGTATGAATTTTGAAACGTGAGCATTTCTTTACCAGCAACTCTATCTCGATTCTCACTCCCATATGCTGCTAGCACCATGCCAGCCCTCGCTGCTTATATGGTCGCGATGCTTTACAACCAGAATAACGTGAGTGTCGTCGGGGAACTTGCCGTGCTATCATGTAACATGACCGTGCAAGGTTGCCACTGAAGCATCTGCTGTGACCACGGTTATCGAATATGAAGTCGGTGAAGACCTGAGTAAAATGCTTGGGTTTTCTAATGGCCAGGATAAATCTTGGGGCCATCTGACTGTTGACGGTGGTAAGCAGAGTTGCGATTCCTTATGCCATATAATACAGACTGATGATGATGCTGATGGTTACAGAGATCGCTCAGGGAGAGGCAAGTCGACTAGAGATTGGCACCGCTCATCATCTAACGCTTCACTATAGGTGCTCTCTACTGGAAGCAACTTCAAGAACATTCCGCTCGCCCTGCGCAGTGCTATCGACGATGGAAAGCTTTCGTTCATCGCCGACTTCCTCCAGGTCACGCCGGCAGGTCCTGCTGGCACTCAACCCAAGTTCCTCAAGGACTGCAGTGTCTGGGAGCTGCTCAACATCCCTCACATCGAGACGCTCAACCTCCTGGATAGTCTCCGGCTGGATTTTGCCGTCGATGTCGACTTCTTGCGGGACACGCTTCGCCCGTATGTGACTGCTGAGGAGGCGCTGTTCCAGAGACATGGTATCACTCAGCCGCCCCAACATCTCATGTCGGCCACCAATCATTATTCGTGGGCCAAGGGTGCAGGTGCGTCGATCTCGTTTTTGACATGCCTATTTCTGAGCATGACTTCGCAGCCATCCACGATCTCGGGGCCGAAGTTTTGGACGTTGAGGTGGACCTTGACGCGCGAATCGATATCCCCAAGCTCGATGCATTGCTCCAGGACCTGTACAAGAAGCAGCAGGCCGTGAACAGTATCCTTGTCAGCTATGGAACGTGGGAGGGAGCGATCGATCCGATCTCCGAGGTGCTCCAGCTTCGCGACAAATATGCCGAGCTTGGTTTCATCTTCTTTGTATATGCAGGTAGGCTCTTGCTGTCTCGTGCCTCCGTTTGCTCAAGCTGTCCAGATTCTCCTTGGGGCAGCCCGCAGCCGGCATCCAGCGCACCGCGTAGTGCCATGACCGCCGAGCAGTACGAGGCACTGGCACAGGTTGATGCTGTGTCTACAGACCTCTATCGGAGAGGAGCCGTGCCGCTTCCTGCTGGCGCTGTGTACTATCGGGACGGGCGACTTGCCCACTGGAAACAACTCTTTGACATCAGGCAGGTCTTGCTGGGTTGTATGTTGATTCCGGACTGACGGCGTGACAGCGAGCCGGAAATGAACAGTCCGGTAGCGATGTCGGCGCAAGCATATTTCAAATTCGTTGGATCTCAAGAGGTCGGCCCGACCCTGAACAGTGTGCTTCCGTGGGCATCAGCCAGAGTACGTTTTGTCGTCCATCTACGCAACCACCATCTGACAAGGCACCAGCTGTCGGCCCAATGGGCAGCCATGTCAGACAACACGACGGATTATATCGTGCTTCCTCTTACTCCGCTGGTTAACGAGGGCGACTCGGCGAAAGAGGCGGCTGAGAAACAGTTCATTCGCAGTCAGATCATTGGGCTGACTGATGACCAAATTTTCTCCAATCCGGAAGCCATGACTGAGGCCAATGCACTGGCGCCTGATCTGAGCATCAGCGTATTCGCGTGCAACTTTATGTTGAACGGGCAACCAAACACAGATGTGGAGGACGCCAGCTATCTCAGCACCCGTCTCGTCAACCAGCTTCATTCGCAACAGATTCCATTCCGCGTGGACTCGAGCGTCATGGGTCAGAGGTACGATTCGTGTGTTGTCAACTATCGGAAGTGAGTCGTTGTCTTTTGTGATGTGCCATTTATTCATTACCGCTTAGACGACTTGGATTGGAAACAGACTCGTCTGAAGACCTGGTCGTGCTGCGTACCATGCCCACGTTTTCGGGGCTGGGCTCGATCGATAGCGTCACCAGTGTCGTGCAGGGCATTCTCGAACAGGAAGTTAAGGTGGTCCTTGATCGGGCCACGGTGCAGCCTCAGATCCACTGGTTCACCGTGTCTGGGCAGGACAATATCTACCTGACGAGCGATCCGTTGTTCCACAATGCGAACGGCCGCAAGCACTTGATCATCAGCGCGGATATGCTCGACACCACGGTCAAGAGCCTATATACCACGGCCCGGTCCAGCTCTCCCGGGCAGCTCTATCGTTGCCGGACGCTGAATGAGATGACGTTGGACGATATCGCTACCGCCAAAGACATACAGGTCGTGTTTGACGGAGAGTGAGTCAAGAGTGCCTTTTTTGTCTGATTTCTAATTGACGCGGCTCCCCAGCGCATTCTCGAGCCACCCTTCGATCACACTTTCCAACCTGCAGGTGATCAAGAACCGCCCTCTGGACGCTCGCTGGCGCGACGCCCAGTTTTCCAACACTTGCATTCCGTTCTACGTCTTTGGTACTCCGCAGGAGATCAACATCGAGCACATGCTGCTTCGCGGGCGAAACGCGCAGCTCTCCGCCGACCGCGTTACACTGCAGGTCCAGCCTCCGCTTACTGCGGACCAACTGGCGCGCGGCGTACGCCTGGAGATCGCGCGTCCCGAGACCTCGCTTCTGCCCGCCAGCGCAAACAATCCGCCCGAGGGCATCTTCAAGCCCGGCGCGTCGTTCAACGTCACTGTCTTCGACGACGTCAACGCTCCAGATGCCCACGGGCCCGGCTTGGCTCTTGGCGGGACCCAGCTCGCCCAGGGGACGGCTACGCTCGCAGGGGGCGTGTATGTTGACTGGAAGCAGATCAACCAGCAGGATTTCACCGCTGTGGCGGCTAGCAGTCCTCCTCCTCCGCAGCAGCAGCAGCAGCCGTCGTCTGGCTCGGCGACCGGCCAGGTCGTGGCCGGCTTGAATAGTGCTGGCGCGACTGTGGGCTCGGCCACAGGCCAGGTTCTGTCCGGCTTGGGAGCAATCCAGGTGCCGACTGTCCCAGCTTGGTTTCCGCAGCATCGAAGACTTTTGGATTTTGATTGCTGCTCGTTCAGGCTAATTGAGATTATCGTTCTTTGTATAATTGGAAATCAATAAATGTGTTTCAAAATCGCTCGGTCCGGTTTGCAAGGCTTGACGTTGCGTAACGTAATTGCAATTGATACTCGTGATCAGGACTTCATTTGGTCTATAATTTTTGTGCGCTGAATGTTGAATTCGAGATGGCAAGCAAGCGTGTATCAGCGTTGCCAATCGTTTTTCATTTCTGACTGGACCAACAGTCGAGAGATGGATGATAGATACTGCAACGCAAGTCCCAAGACTGCGACAAGATTAACTGATACAAATGCGATGTTCGGACGATAAAGATAACCCCTGAACGGTTCGTAATCAGGCTCGGACGAAGAGAAGGGCAGACAGCCGAGGCAACACCGCATGTAGCTACACCGAGGGGGGGGAGTGACGGAGGAGGAAGAAGCCCAAGCTTCACAGTCCGGCGGCTGCCTCCACACGCAGCACCTCCGCATGCAGAGCCTGGCGGCCCTCTTCGAGCCATTTCACATACTCGACGGCGCGGAACAAGACGCCGCTCTTGCCCTTGCTCTGCCCCTTGCCTTGTTCCGGTTCCCGCTCCCCATTCGGGCGGCCTCTTGCGGCATGCCCAGCATCGGCCCGCCGTCCACGGCGCGAGCAGCGTGATCAGCTGCGAGTACCCATCGCGGATGGCGTTCCGGCGCTTCTGATCGGACATGATGGGTTGAGCCGTTTTTGCGGCATCGACAGCAGGGGCTTCGTGTTGCGCGCAGAGGAGGGGGACGCGGCTGCGGCCGAGTGGGGACGGCAGGTGCTCGTGGGAGGGCGCGGCGGGGTCGGCAGGGATCGAGACGATTCCGATGTGTTGCTTGGCGTCTCGCTCTCCTGCCGGGATGGGAAGTCGGAGGAGGCGCTGGCAGGAGTCTTTTCGGCTGTTTCCGTAACGACGATGCGCGCGTCGGTTCGCTGCGGACGGCCAGACGTCGTCGGGGATGCGTCAGGCACGACGTCGGGGGAGGTGGGGGTTGGGAATATGGCTGCGGTCGATATTGGGGCTGCGGTAGCGTCTGTTCCAAGTCC